ACCTCGACACCCGTATAAGGGTATAAGAGGGACAGATAAAAAAAATAGTAAATCACAACTGGATAATCAGAAGTTTTTGGAAGAACTAATCGGGCGGTAGTGAACCGTTACCTACCCGGACTGTAACCAGTCCGAAATTTCAGGAGAGGGAAAGGGGGAGGAGTTCATTCACTTGTTGTTGTGGGAAATACACGCACAAATCGAGAGCTATGCTGACTGAGTTTAACAGTTACTATAATAACGAAATAAATATACATTTAACAATAATAAAGGAAATAAAACATATGATGAGAATACCAGAAATAATATTACAAGAAACCTAGCATGACCCACTACGGTCATTCAAGCCAATACCTTATTCATGGGACACCGCCCATTTCACTGACCATTTAATTTCACAGACCAAGGAAACAAAAAATAATAACACTCACATGTGTATATATACTCACAAGGTACCCATACGTATATATTTATATAAAACACCTTTGCCTCGCCACTGCTCCATAGCTCGGCAAAGGGGCCCTCTCCCGGGACACACAGCGCTGACTTCCAAAAATAAATCTAATTTTGAAAAAGAAAGGAAACCAAACAGAAATTTCTAAGAGCAGGGACAACCACCCTGCACGACTGCCACCCAGGGAAAAAGAGCCATCGTTCGTGTCATCTTGCCACGACAAGAAAAGGAGGAAGGAAAAAAGAGGGGGAGGGTCACGTGACATCATTGAAAAGAACTTTACAAGAAATATATGAGCATTGGCTGTGGTTGACTGCAATTCCATGACGCCTTTCACGGGGCCAACCCTTTGAATCGTCTTCAGACGGTTCAGTAGGATAAACTGCCGCTGGTCCTCGCCAGCACAGTTATTCCTGGTTCCGAGTCTCCCGGGACTAATGAAGATATTTTAGTGTCTCATGACTCCGGCAGCCGTGCGACCTCCACTGGCAAGAACTACTCGCATGCTTTCCGTTCGCTTCATACGGAGTACTTGATGTGATGCGGGCTGCATAAGGAACACCGGTTCAACAGTTCTTCTACTATTGCGTGTGTATTCGTTACCAAGGTAATGTGTTTACCGAACCGTGCCTAGCAACGGTCGTCTCTTTTGGTTCCACTATCCCAGATATCAGGCGTTGGGGGGGGGCACAGACACAGATAGCAAAGTGTTCTAATAAGACTGCTTTCATTTTTCAAAGTAAGGAAACTAGGCTGTAAAATGTGACTCACTGAGCTAGTACTGGCTGATTGAGCAGATCTCAGATGATCATAACTGAAATGTTTATTCGTGAATGTCAATATATTAAACAAATTCAAAACTCACCAATAGGCCCACTGAATCTCAACAAACTTAACACAGATCTAAATGCGGCATTTCCTCCACACAAAATGCAACATTGACAGCTTAAGCTCAGCTCCTCGAATTAGGAACTTGTATTTCCAAAACAGTGTGTCTCGGTATTCAGAGCCTCGTTTTTCACAACGCAGTCAACTCATAAAATTGATGGTGGGATTAAGAATGGGAAGGTTTTTGTATTGTTGATCTCGAAGACGTTTTATAAATAATGGCGAAGAGACATGTTGAAACACACCTGTCAAAAATCTAATGAACTAAAATGAAAGTTATATTTTTCGTGGAATGGTTCGACAGATTTAAGTAAGCTAAAAAATTTAAAACAAGAATTTCAACTTGCATCGACGTTTACTGGCATTACTGTCACACCGAATGCAATGGCTGTCCTACCATGACTCACCTGTTCCCGAATTAAGCAGTGAACTCTGACCCATCATACTTCCCACGGTTATACCACCATTTCTCACTCTCTCAAGACTCTCGTTCTGGAAAACAAGGCGCATGACGAGAGGGTAATGTTAATATTAGTCCTTACAGTGCCAGAGTCGATTATAACGACGTTAAATACATCTGCACATAATGCCAGCGTCGATTACATAATTCATCCGCTTCCACATCGAATTTCATTTCTACATACTACTGCAATTTGATAAAAACGGTAAAATGCTATTCCTGTAACAGGCCGTGGAGGCCCGTAGGATTGTGAGACGTCGAAGCGCCCACATTTTCTGTAGACAATCGGCTCACAGAGGGCGGTAAGGTTGTCAGCCTTATGCACCGGCCGCCCTTTACCAACAGGAAGATTCATGGTACTCATTTCTATTAGAGGCTGAGTCGACCCCAGGGCCATAGTGCGGCTGGAAGGATTAGGACAATTGAAAAAAAAACAGTGACATCGGGACTCGAACCTGCGACATTCCGGCTTATAGCATAGTGCCTCAACCTACCACGCTACCGCGTGCCCACGATGGAAGAGGTAACTACGCCATATTTATCGGGAAATATAAACGTATTATCCACTAACAAATTATATTAAAAATTAAATCAAATGGACATATAAAATCAGTAGATATTCAAAGATGGGTTTTACCAAACGCGCATGTGCGTAGAATTATATACAATGCATTTAGGGTTAACAATGTAACGGTTAAGAAAGAGAGACTTCGTTCTGGACAACGTAATCTTGGCACCCTACGTTTCTTAATCTGGATGCTACTCACGGCAGTGAGGACGCTTGTAAGCATCTCATGTGGGATACCATACGAACTTTGTTAGGGGTTCTCATTAGTGGCGACGAGGCACAGACGAGCGTAACTGTGTTTGCTCAGGGTCAACCTGGGTTCATCTACGTGTAGTTCCACAGATGCGGCAAATTAACAGCTTACACTGGTGTCTGAGTAGAGCGCACTATTTCCTAATTAACGTTCCTATCCCGACACCTATCTGAAACACACTTGTGCTAGTAACTGTTCACGACAAATGAGTTTAAGGTATAATTAACTACATCGCTTATAGGAAACTGAGAACATCTCAAACAAACGAATCCAACAAGTTAAAAAGGTTCTGGGAAGAATGCATTATTCTTACATTCCTTCAAAATATATTTCAAGTAGCTGATCTACCTGGAATTGCATAGGCACAATGCATCCTTAGAATTAGGGAGTTAATAACTGCTGTTTATTTTCGAAATTTTAAAATTAACTCTCATAAAATGTGAAGGATAAGATATATACAGTAAGGGAGACCTTTCTTCCAAGCCCCTTCCCCAAATCTCATTATGCTAGCGTGAACAGCTAATCAGCAGTCATAAAAATTAACGGTCTATGGGGAATTTAGAGAATTTTTGGAGGTGTTCTCAAATGTCTAAAACTTCTCCAGCGAGGTCTTCTAACATCGTGGTCGAAACATGTGGACTTGCGTCCAAATATATAAAAAACAAATGAACACACACATACTCTTCTTTATGTATATAACTTATATGGTGAGGTAGAAACCATACATTCTGCAGGCAGAGATGATAGATGTCCCAGTCCACGAAAAGAACAGAGCAAAATGCATTTTCTTTCAGTTACAGAAAGCTGAATGAAAAAATTACGAATGCAAGATAACAGATGAAGTTTCTAGCGTCACTCTAGCAGAATTTATCATAGCTCTCACGATCCGCTGAACAATCTCAAAAATTGATGAGAGCTTTGGCTGAAAGTAATTGGCATTAAACAGAGTTATAATTTAATAACGCTGCAAATCAAATTTTAATATAGGAACTCTGAGAGGAAAGAAGGCTACGATAATCCTAGCGGACTGCAACAGAATCAATGCACAGAACATTTCATTTCCTGCTAATCCGTTCTTCATTGCACGTCATAAATGATCTCCCTTTCACACCGTCCTAATCGCTCAACATTTATTCAATATGAATAAGACAGAAAACCAGGAATCTTGCTTATTAATTAACTCACTCATGGAGCTGAGCCTTTCTTGAGAACGTGCCAATTGTGCAGTTACACAAGAATTTCCTAGCATTTTATGGAACCCGAATGTTCATTACCGTGTTCACAAAATCCCTCCAATGGTCCTTATCATAAGCCAGATCAATCCAATCCATACCATCCATCCTGTCTCTCTGAGATCCATTTTAATATTGTCTACCCACCTACGTCTTGGTCTTCCCAGTGTAATTCTTATTAATTAATATATTTAAATTAAACTACAGTGCAATATTTATTTGGGAGTATCCTTCACAGAAACCATTATCCAAACAAAAAACTGAAATGTCTCTAACTAACCTTTGTGGGACTTAAGGTACTGACGGCGGTGAATATGAAAATGAATGGGATGTGACACCGTGTAGTCTGGCAGACTTTTACGGAAGATTCGGATGAACTGCTACCTCCACCGCATACCGTGAATACCTTCTTATACCAGTCTATTATGCCCCACTCAACGACAATAAATATTTGCATTTCCCACGTAAGTCCTTAGAATCGCGAAGCCACTTTCAGCAAATGGAGCGAAACACTATTAGACCTAAATGTAAAAGGGATTAACGCAACAAAGATATCAATACGAGTTTTATACATGCCACTAAAAGTCTAGGAGTTAACGGTGGACTAGGAAAGGGTAAGAAGGAATTAATACATAATTTTCTGCGAGAAAACTTAGAAATTCGTCGCTTAAGTAGGGAGACAGTGCTGGAAACTGCGTAACATACTACAAAGTGTACTGCTCCTCATATGTCTCTTCATTAAACCTACTTAGCATTTCCGAAGCACAAACTCGACAACGTCTCGGACGGGTTATGTAGTGACACTTCTTTAACGCAAGACAGAATCGGAATTATTGATGTTCAAATTTCTCCATCGTCCGGTATTCTGAAGAACAGTAAGGAACATGACGTTTCGGAGACTGGATTCTGTCTCCGTCGTCAGGTGGAGTCTACTCAGTTGGGACTAGCTCTGCTGATTGGACGCAAATGGCTAGGTTCCACCTGAGGACGGAGACAATCCACTCTCCGAAACGTTGTGTTTTAAATATAAACAGGACGATGGATACTGCCCACAAATGCAATAACTGTATTGATATACTATCGTCACAAACTTTTAGATCTTAACAATGGTCCAATGTTAATTTACTTCTTTATGTCTGTTTCAGGAGCAAAACACCGGCAATACCACCGGACACGCTCAGCTCACAAAGGTACGAATAATACTTCTTTGTAAGCGCATGATTTATCATTGTCATTTACGCAATTTCATTTATCACAGCAACGAACTGCCAAGTAAGTTATATAGCAGGTCACAAACGAGCGTGCGGTCTTTTATTTCAGCGCATCGTCTCTACTACCTGAGTGTTCACAAAATTTTAATTTGCATGTGACAGAATATTTGTGAATATTCCGATGTGGATATATGAAGTACAGTGTACTATAAAAAGACGGCGGTTTACGATTATTTGTGCACGGTATTCGTGGGAGATGACGATAGAGATCGGCTTCGACGCATCATGCGACAACATGCAGCACTGGAAAGGAATAGGGGAGAAAGCAGAGGAAGCTAATATTTAGAAAACTTGTAGGTATAACTTCCCACTCAATTCCAATAGGTGACACTAACATATACTTCAAATTTTTCATGTGGACAGTACATCATGTGTATCAAAGTTGGGAACAAACACGATTAACCCATTAATAAGTGTGTTATATATATCCAATCTTTAATAGCCAATTATTAATAACCTTACTAAACAGCATAACTGTATTTGAATGTAAACTCTACATTATAACGTAAAACATGGGCAAAATTATTGTACAAGTATTACGTTTATTAATCTGGTTGTACTGTCAGATTTTCTGAGAAGCAGTGGGTCTGGAACGGTGTCCACTCAGCCTCGTGAGGATAACTGAGGAGCTGCTTAAATGGAAAAGTAGAGGTTCCGGTTTAGAAAACCGAAATTAACCGCCGGGGGAATTCGTTGCGCTGACCACGCGACACCCTCTATCCGCTAAAGTTGGCAATAACTTCGTCGACAAGCGGCAGTCGCTCGGTCGGTATAGTTCGCTTGCGGACTAAAGCCACGGAGTTTTTTGTACTGTCGGAAACAATTTCCTCCTTTGCGGACAATGATTTTCTAATAAGATATTTTCTCTGCAAGTGAAGTTCTGTCCATGTGTCTTTGTTTACTACCTGAAAACCTTGAAATTGCTTTCCTAGCTGAACGACCTTAATATGTCTGCTATTGCTAAACTAAACTGAGATTGTATACTTAATTAAAATTTAAGAACAAAAAATGTTTTCGGCGCATGCACATTTCGGAGACCAGTAACTTCTGACTCCCAACTCGACCTTACTTTTTGTTAAATTACAATTTAACGATGTCACTGGGAGTCGGGATAGCGCAGCCGGTATAGCGACTGGCTACGGGCTAGGCGACTGAGGGGTCGGAGTTCTTGTCTCGGTAGGGCCAACAATTTTATTTTCTCCATGTCGTCCAGAACGGTTCTGGGGTTCGCCCAGCCTCCTATCCAATGGGTACCGAGTTTTCTTTTCCCTGAGGTAAAGCGGACGGAGCGTGAAGCTGACCATTCACCTCCAACTAGCGCCGAGGTCAAAAATACGTGAATCTATATATCCATTCCACCCATACGTCTTCATGGTGTAGTGTTTAATCAGGCAAACACAGGGACAACTTTACCCATTTACGCGTAATATGTTTGAACCACAATCTGACCTGTTTATCCCACATTTTAATACCACAATAACGAATTAAATATTAATTATTTCAACAACAAAATATCTGTTTATATTCTAATAATGTCCACAGACTCCATTACTCGAATGTCAGTCCTCACAAATACATTTCTGTCGATGGAAAATAAGCTGCTACTGATGATGGATAACTACTGAACCACATCCCCGTATTAACATACTCATCTGTGAAAACGGGGTGTAGTAAAGCGTGACGGTGAGGTTGGCATGAGATCACATCAGGTATATGTTGATGAGTCGGTCTCTTGCTCTCCCGCAGAAACTTCAAAGTACGCTTAAAATCAAATTATCGTAAATTTTATAGTAGCATTTCCTCCTCACCAGACGGAATGCCTGCAGCGCCACGACTAGGCAAACTGAATTATTCGGTATAAAACGAACGCTTCATTCAGGTTTACGGAAACTGCAAACGCTGCATACAAGTATGTGTATATCCATGTGAATATGAGCTAACACCTACAAATATCAGAGAATGCTTGCTATCACTCACTTTAGGATCTCTTGCCTTCCCATCTCCTATAAATGTTAAATACATAAAACTAAAATATTACCTCTTACTTTGTAGTGTGTTCAAATTTACAAGCCGAAAATAATGGGACCTGAAAAAGGGGAGGTAACAGGAGGGAAACCGCACATGGAGACCTTCATAATTTGTGCTGTTCAACAATTATCAATCGAGGCCGATCACAGTGGCCGCGCGGTCTAAAGCATGAAATCACTGAGCCCGCTCAAACATTGGGATAGTGGATTCGAATCCCACTCGAGGAATTGTATGTCTGGCTGCGTTTCTTCTGTTTGTGCTGTCCTGTGTAGGTAATGCCTTTGTGACAGGGCTGATGCCCCGTCCAAGGAACCCTACCGGCTATCTATAAGATTGATAGTTCTAGATTAATGCTGATTAGAAAGAGGCCAGAGGAAGCTCAATACGAAAGGTAGTAGTAGTAGTAGTAGTAGTAGTAGTAGTAGTAGTAGTAGTAGAAGTCGATTCATGTTATTCAGACTAACGGCCAACAGTGGGATCCTGCGAACGGCGGAATGAAATTTGCGGTTCCACATATTGTGCGAGAAATTAATGACCCGTTATGGGATTATTTTCTAGAGGAAAAAACTGCTCCACGGAGATAACTCCCGAATTCGGAACGGACTATATGTTCAAAGGCTGAAAGACGAAAAGTGACTACTTGATGACGACAGGTACGACAAACTCAAAACTGAGGCAGCCTACAACAGCGAACTTTCAGTTTCTATCATTCAGACGCGCGTGGGATGAATGAAACCAATCAAGTGAGACGGATCGTGTTATGAAGTAGTTGCTGGCAACATGTAATGCACATGACCTGACAACTCCACGCTACATGAAACTCAAATCAATAAATCTTTCAAATGTTTAATGTTTCAGAGCTATGTCAGCATTTGCTTTTATAAAAACAAATATGCCTCAGTAATGATACCGCCATTTCCATGTCCATGTTACGCAAGAGACATATCAAAGACATATCCAATTTCCTTAAAACGTTTATTGAACTCTTTGCTTTTCCTGTTGTAACAAGGATATCTGAAAACAGTTCAATATTTATGCCGCTCCATAAACTTGATAAAAATTACTAAATGCATTCACATCAAGGAAGGATATTAAATTCTGTGAAGAAATACGATAAAGCTAGCATTAAAATTGATAAGACGAGATCTTGCTTTTGGGTCACAAACAAAACTGCTTCTTACGCTTCATTTTCTTTGGGCTAAAGGTAAGAGAAACAGTTGAGACGGACAACCTAACTGTTGGAATTTCATCCACACAACGTTAGAGGGCGGAGAGGAAGTGATATAAAAGCAGGAGAAGCCATAAATAATGTAAAGAGTGTCCGAGAAAGAGTTCACAGAGTTTAAACATTTTTACTGACAAAATAAACAGAGCCAGAAAAGTACAGTTTTTACCACATGACAGCGGAAGTGTCGAAGTTTTACGCACCACACTTGTTCTATCGAGCCACATGACTGTATGAAAGTGCGCATGAGTCAGTTTCAGGGCAGCTGACTACCGGATGGACATTGTGCAAGCAGCAATGGAAGCCCAGGTCGAAGTGTAGTGAAAATGAGAAAATTGAGGAAAAACTTTTCAGAGTAGCTGTTTCATGTGGTGAATACTGTACTCTAATAAACGTGTTTATTTTCTCAATAGATTGTTTAAATGTGTGCACCTTTTCTCGGACAGCCTGTATTTTACAATTTTACAGTTGGACAACAAAGTTTGTTATGAATTGGCAGTGAGATTTCGTATACAAATATGAAATATAATTCTGGTTTTATTTTGAGGGATTTCTAAAATTTAGTTTCATAAAAACTATGTAAGATTTGAGGCTTTCACGGCGATGACTATGAAGAAAGCAGTCTTGTGGGATTTGGCACCGTGTATATGTGGAGTTAACCGACGTTTCGGAGGAACGTATCGCCTCCATCTTCAGGGTAGAAGAAAAATATAAGAAATCTGCAAGCGAAGAGACCGTGAGAACCGGTAAAAGACATATACACGGTGCCAAATCCCAGAAGACTGCTTTCTTCATAAAATCTGTTTCTTTTTATATTAAGTAGCTATATTTAAAGCTATATTACAATAATAACTACGGATCAAGTAAATAATAATATAAGCCTAAATGAGATTCTACAGAATAAAATTAAGAGCAACAGCACCATCGCTGGAAGCACAATTTGCAGGGATTCTGGGACCCCAACTTCTCTGAACTGTCTTCGCTGCTTTCATAACAAAAGAATTTGCAGCGGAAACAAGGAACCTGCCTGCACAAAATTTAGCAATTTGCATACGACACGCTAGGCACATGCACGAGTTTCAGAAAGATATGAGTAATATAAATGTCTTGGGTAACCTACTTTCCGCAATTAATTTATTTCCTTGTGGGGGAGACCGGCCGCCTTACAGGTTGTTTCAGCAGCATTACTTAAACCTTGCTCCTTGCTTTCATTCTACTTCACTGCTATTTTAACCCTACTTTTGGCACGGTATGTATATTTAACCCAATTTATTTAAATTAAAGTATAGCTTGACACTACTAAGGCCGTAAACATACAAACACAGGCCCAATAACACAATGGTACAAATACGGATATGTACAACTCATATGCATACAATGATAAATAGCCTGCAGTATTATACAGAAAAGTGCCACATGCCAGAAGTAAAACCCGCAATGAGTTTTACATTAGAAACGATTTGCGAACTCAATTCTTATGACCTATATAATTAATCATAACTTATAATTTTGTACTTATATTCCACAAAATTTAAAAACGTTATAAGACTACCAACAGCCTTTAGAACCAAATGCACGTATATAACACGTGTATAACAGCAATATGGTTGAAATATATATATATGAGTTCATCATGTCGCAGCAAGCCCAGTAAATAATCAGAAGTTGTATGTTTTCGGTTTGTAAATGGTTAAGTATAAGTCCTGGTTGTGTAAGGCAATACAATATACGTTATTTAACGTTAAGGCATGTGGTACACAAACAACCACTGTCATATAAAGGATTGAAGCGTGAAGTTTGGGTATTCAGGTTATATGCTGTATGCTTCTTTGTTGCAGGGTGTTCAAGAAGTCGGCTCCTAACAATAAATTGACGATTTATCTCAGTAGTCGAGATCTGGTGATATCAGACAACAAGATAGATCGACTACAGGGTGTCCTTTTAGTAGATCCGGACTATCTTCAGGACAGAAAGGTATGTTGTGTTGCTACAGATTGAACACTACTGTTATATGGGTATCGTAGTAATATAGGAGTATATTTCAGACCACCACACAAAAAACGAACATGAAAAATACGCATATGCAATATAAATCCAGCATGCGACAAGAGAACACACGTACCCTATGACAGCCTGTTTCTACCGTGCTCATCAAGAAAATCGATCATTACACAAGACTCGGGACTACACGCCTAAATAAAATAAACAAAATATTATTAATAACAATAAGTAATAAAAATGCAGTAATAATAAGAACATTAACCAACACTGGTAAAATTTTAACTGATTCCTATACATTTTAACTTAATTATAAAAACCCAGTTTTAAGGAAGATATGCAGATTGTAAGGCATAATTTGCAAACTTAAAACACGTTTGTGTTGCGAATAACGTATATCCTCCGCAAAACTAATGCAAAGTTTTATATAATTCACAGTATTTAAGTCTGCAATTAAAAACCTACATTGTAAATAGGAATATGACCTTCCCCCAACTCTAAACACTGCCCAATGGAATGGGGATAGCAAAGAGAGTTGACAGTGCCTTTAAGTACTACCTGATGGTGGCCGAAACATGTCGCAATGTAAAGACTGTACAGTTATCATACAATTATACATATACTGTGAGGCTCAAACTGAATGAAACATTCTACACACAATATGATGCTATGATACAATACTGCAATATATGTGGCATAGAAGGAATTCATTTAAGAACACTGTAAATAAGAAAACACCGATGGCACTAGTGCAGAAGGCAAAGCAGTTCTCCCGAACAGGTACAAAGATAATGTAGCTCACAATGGTATGTTGTTACTTACTTTCATGGGCCGCGCCACAGCTCAAGCGGTTAGTCGCTGGCTTCCATCGCGGCGGCCCGGGTTCGATCCCGGGTCTGGTCTAGTAGGGTTTCTGGTGGATAAAGTGGCGCTGGGGAAGATTTTCTCCGAGTACTTCGGTTTCCCCTGCCAATCTTCATTTCACCAATTGCTCCACAATCACCTTCACCTATCATGTGGGACTGGTACAATAGGCCAGAAGTGGCCGCAGTACAAGGGACTTAGTCCCACCCCATTAGCAATAAAAAAAAATACTTAGTTTCATGAAAATCCATATGCCTTCAGTGTTTAAAACTTTGGGAAGGGGGTTAGACAGGCGGATATGACGCTGTATATTTTATTATGAAATATGAAGACTAGGCTAGGAAGTGTTATTAACCGTGACAAACATCTCTTTTACAACCTTTGCTGTCCATAATGTGTTGGATCCGGGACACTGGAGACGGAAGTGTTCTAAATACGGTTAATTTCATTGGAGTGAGGAAATGGCCGGATGCTAAGGTCGATGGTCTGGCACATAAATGAATTACTTACCTGCAAGCAAGGCTGTATTCGTAAACTAAAAGCGGCAACACACAGAATACGAGATCGTCGTCAGCCCGCTTGCCTGTTCACTCTTTATGATAAAGCCGAGAGCAACCAGTCAGAGTCATGGTAAGAGTTTCGCTATGAATGTTTAGGTTAGAATCTGCCATAGACATCAGCTTGCAGCACACCTGTTCATACCCACGTGATATGGAGCATAAATAACAAACATTTATAGTCTCCATATCAACCCGGTATCAATTACATTACTAAAATATACGAACATAAGCCCTTTGAGTACAACTGTGACTATATGACCCACGTACTACCTGCTGTAACACTAGAAGCTCTGCATTTTGCTCACAGAGTTTATTTATGTTTCGTATAAATCTTGGGATAAACAGTGGACATTTCTCTAAAATACAAATAGGTTGGTCTTTACAACGTACAAGGCATATTTCCTGTGCGGTAGGGACATATTTTTAAACACTGTTCAGATTAGAGCCATGCTTCAAGATAATAAGCTATGATTTCCGACTTTAAGTATTCTTTTAAAGACAATAATGCCCTTCCCTGAAAATTATTCGATAAAACCTCAAACTACACCATAACCGCTTTCGTCCTCAACATTTTATATATACGAGTACATACTACGTATAACGATTCTACCATCTTACGCTCTATATCCGCCATAAATAGCTGTCACGATTTAGGGGTGACTATAGACGGGGTCTGGATTGGCGAATGGATTTACCGACCACTTGTACGCACCATAAGGAACTACGTGTACAAGTAATAACAGCGCTGTCACTGATTTCCACACTTTACAAAACACTAGCACACGCTAAGTCTTCTCAGTTTTTACTGGTCGTATCCTGTCAACGGGTTTTAACACTGTAGCTACAGCACACATAATGTCTTCTTTACACAGCCGCACTTTTGTAACTCTTTCCTCCACAGCCTGACTTTCAACTCTCAACTGAAGTGGTTGCCCCAGTTCTCTCCTTTATAACCACTTTGATCGGACCGAATATATGACACCGTCTTCAACAATTATGATTGTTGTAGAGACGTGTTTACCGATCCGTTGTTTAAGAACTGGTTGTATAACCCAGTTGGTCTGTTGTTGCGTGCGTTACCTAGCAACGGCCATGGTTTCAGAGTCACCGCTCAGCAACTGGTCTATAGGCCACAATACATTCAATAGGTATCGCCATGGCTCGAACGGCGGCGTGTGGTTTCTGTAAAACGCGATAATCCGCGTGAATGAAAATCCGACATTAAAGCAGGACACAATAAAAGGACGCATTTCTCCCTTCCAGTCCAGGTTCTTTAAAGTTTTGGTATGATGCCCGATGTACTAACAGTCACAAATAACATGTATCCATCTTAACCCCGTTAACATGTCTAATTCAATTAAACTAAATGTTCGTCCGGCAGATCAAAGTGAACTGTCTTCGCTCGCCCGAACGCTGGGATGGTGGGTTCGAATCGCACTAAAGACATAGATTTCTGTGTGTGCGTATATTCTGTGTTTGTGTTGTCCTGTGTGTAGGAGCGGACTTTCGATGGCTCATCACTCGTATAAGAGTCCTACTTATTTATGGTTCTACAGCCCCTGAGGACCTTGGCCGCTTTTCCAGTTCCTTGGTCATTTACACATTCGGTAGGACTCCTTGGACGGGGGATCAGCCCGTCACAAAGCCGCTACCTACACACAGAACAATACAAACACAGAATAAACGCAAACGGACATCCATTCCTCGAGTGGGATTCGAACATACGACCCCAGTATTTAAGCGGGCGGAGACGGTTCATGCCTTAGACCGCGCGACCACTGAGATCGGCAAAGAGTCTTACCGTCTGTGTAAGAAAACATTATGAAGCTGAATTGAGGCCAGAGCCCAAGAAAGAGCTGTAGAGCCACTGATGAATGAACGAAATGTTCGTCCATGTCAGAAGTATTCCCTAGAACTGGATTTTCGAATTGCCTCCCACACAGGTCTACATGGTGAACTCGATCACAAGAGCCTCATTTGAGGTACTCGACGATCCAGGTTATTGTGAGAGTGACTTACAGTAAGCAAGCTACCAATTACACTCCTGATGTGGTTCCGAAAACGCAACAAAGATTTAACTACAGAGGGTAACAGCTGAAACGTCAGTTTCTCACCAGTGAGATCGATAGTACGCGCGCGATTCATCTTTGTAGCATGTCACCTTTCTGGTAAGCCCTACGTTCGCCTGTAGGTCATCAGTTACTGTCAGTGTCACAAGATAACAGAATCAACACTTCCTAGGCTACAAGCAAAAAATAAATCAGCATCATAGCAAGACTAACACAACAGCATGGATTTCGATGGATGTATCCGAATAAGGGAGAATATTCCCTTGAATGAATGAATGAATGCATAAGGGGTGGGACCTTCCGGCCCTTGCACTGCGACCTTCAATGATCTATTCTACTTCCTCTTTTTTGTTTAACCCTTTATCAATCCTACATTTCGAATGAAATGTTGGACTTTATTTATACAGGCGTCTTAATAGTCATTTGGTTCCATAACAAAACTGGTCCAAGTGATGAAATTTTAAATCAGCTACAGCCTCACAATTATATAAGATGTGTGTGGTTGATTCATATTTTTCTAGGCACCATTCGCAAGTGGGGTCATATGATAGTCCGAGTTTAAAAAGGAGTCCTTCTAGGTGACGTTGTCCTGTAAATAATCCTACCACCAAAGAATATTCCCTTTAAAATCCAAGAACTTTCAAAATTAACTAAAAATTATCATTTTTTGAGGCCAAAACGTATGGGCTGAAGTCACTCGAAATGTTTCCTTTAATTATTATCCACGACGAATAAATAAGTCATTGAAATAAAACGAGGGAGACATATACAGAATATTGATTTGCACAGGGCAGTGAGTGGGTGGAAGACAGACTCAGAGGAAATAAAGCACACAGAGTATTAGCAGTAACATTTCTTTTACAGACGACGTAAACACTACATTGCAGTGGTTCGGTTGCTGGAGACTCGTTTATTAAAGCGGAGGACGAGGAAGGTGACGTTAACGTAAAAGATGCCTGCGACAATCCGCCCTTCCCATTATGTGTCGTTAAATAAACGGTTTGATTAGGGGAAAAATTCGCTCCTTCCCTTAAGCACGTGCACTAAACACTTTTCATTTGGACGTAAAACTTTACCTGCTGATTCATTAATTACTTAACTCTCGCAGATCATGTAACCTAATCGTGAACACTAAAACAGTTTTCTCCTTAAAAACACCGATTAGACCTCGCCTATACACCAACGATAAGGGATTCAGTAAAGGTGAAGCTATCCCTGAAACAGACCGTAGAAGCCCATAAGTTTGTGAGACGTCGAGGCTCCCACATTTTCTAGACAATCGGCTCATAGATGTTGGTGAGGATGTCATCTCTACGCGCCGGCCGCCCTTAACCCCCCAAGAAGATTCCTGGTACTCATTTCTCTTAGACGTTGTGTCTACTCCAGGAGCATAGTGGGGCTGGAAGGATGAGGTCAGTTTAAATATCCAATGACCTCATCTGGAATCGAACCGGCGATCATCCGGCTTCTAGCATAGTGCCTAAGCCAACTTCGCTACCGCGTGCCCCCCAGATATTCAGTACCTTACTATTCCTTTCAGGTTTTCGGGCAGGTGACGCTGACGTTTCGGTATGGACGTGAGGACGAGGAGGTCATGGGGCTCAAGTTCTGCAATGAGGCCGTGATGTGCCTCGCTCAGCTATACCCGCCCCACGAGCGAGCGGCCCCACAAACCAACACACCGTTACAGGTAAGACCATGCAGGAGAACGGACTTTGCTCATGGCTTTTAATGACAGTGTTCAACAGGATCAACAGCTATGGCTGAATAATTCGTTGAGTCATCGATCGATGGGTTGTCAACTCAGTTCCTTTGAATTTAGCTGACAGCTCATCAAAGAATCAATCCAGCCCAAATTTAACCACTAGCATGCCAGAAATGAAATATACAATTCAGAAAAAAAAATCTTCTCTTACTAAACACGTTACATGCAAGTTCACTGTCACGAAATTAAATCCTGCAGTCATATTTAAACAATTTAAATTACTTCTTCTGTGATATTTCAACACTACAGATCGTGAGTCACAACATGAATATAAGCCTCCGAATAAAAACAATTTTTTAAGTTGGCATAGAAATATTTAAAACAAGTATCAAAATATATTTCTTCCACAGAAGATGTCAATGGGATTCGGTTTCAAAACTTCCTTACATTATATACACATCGTAAATAACACAGCATAACAATTCAAATAGGGGAATCTTCTACACATCAGGGACTGGGCTCAAGCATGTTCCGACTTCACAACTATATTTCGAAAAGTTTAAGCGTGTGTCTATGTCTGTCTGGTCTATACAGAAGCACAAACTTTGAGGGTCTCTTGCTGCCCATTTTTTTCAGGTAGGTTAACTACTTTACCGAATGAATATGTTATATAATATGAGGTTTTCACACCGGTGGTTACGAAGACTTCTGTCTTCTGGGGTATAACATTGTATAGTCCGGTGAAAGTAAACCGACGTTTCGGAGGAATATGTAGCCTTCATTTTCATGTTGCTTGCCGCCTGTTTCATACTGGTCTCTTGTTTGGCTTACTTTTACTCCGAAACGACGTCAGACTTTCACCGAACTACACGGCGTTATATTCCAGAAGAGAGAAATCTTAAAATAATTTCCATACTCCGCATGTCTTCCGTGTTAATTTTGTGCAATACAGTACGTCCCATCTTAAAAGTATAATTTCCACCGCGTGAACTTTACTTACGTTTGTGTTCGGAACTAATTCTTTAGAAGATACAATTTGGTCAGCTAGTCAAAAAATTCTCTGACTTTCAAGTCCGCGGCCTTCTGACATTCCGTAACACGAGAACCCAAACCTAAGGAAACTGCCATCACTTCAATAAATTTCAGCGTCAAAACCACAAACCAGATTATAACTTAAAAACTAAATGTATAGCTACCCTCATCTATTTTTTTCACAACATGTCTTCTCCAGACCCCACAGTTAACTGCTTTACTCTGGGTCTAGAAAGACATGAAGCCTCATACTTGGTCCACCTTCGATTTCAGAGGTTGTGCTGAGCATGGAGAACTGGTGGAATAATTACTAGCGGGAAAAGGGAAGTATTCGGAGGAAAACTTGGCCCCGCGTCAATTTGCTCACAAGAAACATCGTGTAGAGTGCTCTAGAATTGAAGAGAGGCTTCCGGGACGAGAATACCGGCGTCTTACTGCCTGAGGAATTTCCAGACTTGATGTAATAGTTGTATCGCTGACTCGATCTACTGGAGTTTGATTAATTGACAGTGGGCATGAAGTTCGCTCTGTTTTTGAAGTCATTTAGGACTGTCGACTCGTGAAAACATCAAAATAAACGTAACCATAACATACTAGACATGAAATTTACGTAAGCTATACTTCTGGCGAAGCCACTTTCATACTAGATGAAAATACCGACCTATGTCCTCAGGAAGTGATGATGGCACTTCCATGACAATGGCCGTAATATTTATTCTACCATGAATCGGTTTCCAGAACTTCGTTTGAGAAAATTGTGGCAGCGAGGAAGTTATTAAGATAAGAAAGGTTCACATCTCACATGGCGAGGTTCACAATATAGTCGCTTATACGAATCTGCCCACAAACGAAAGCGAAGATGAATTATTCAGTTGCGTAGAATAGTTGCACTTTATATTTCACAGTGACATAACACTTTATTTTTTGCTGTAAGGTTAACTGTAATGTATTTCCTAGAATTTCATTTCCGAAGCTCGTGAAAATATAAAAAGAGACGAAAAGGCTTCCAAGCTCTGCAACCACTGGTTAATGCATATGCGTTGTGTGTGAACGTAATTACGTGTACAGGTATTTTACATTACCAATGCAACAACAAAACACAGCTGGAAATATTATGTTAGGGTCTATTAACTTGAAATTACTCCCTGTACGCCATATGGATCTATTGTGGTATACTCAGATACAAAGTGGAGAATAAACCGACCACTCTACCACACCTACGGTTGATCGGCTATAAAAACCGGACACAACAATAACACGGATTCGCTAGTGTGGTTCAATATGAAACGACTATAAAACTGCCAGGAATTAAATAATAAAATAAAACCAACATAATTAGACTCTATGTAAAAGTGGTGCGTTTAATTCTTAGACAGGCTTATATGATGACTGATTAATAAATTCAACTGAACGCTTCAAAAATAAATTCTAACAGAAATTTCATCGAAAGCAAAATGACAGACGTTTCGTAGCGACATACTCCTCGTTCCATGTGAAGCTGTACATAAAATTTGATCTCAAAGCGTCGTTTCTGAATAGACTGGTTACTGTGTTTAAACGGTATCCTTTTGCGANGTCTCACATTATCTAGACAATCGGCTCACAGATGGCGGTAAGGTTGTCACCCTCACGCACCGGCCACGCTTTACTCCCCAAGAAAATTATTTAATTAATTCCTGGTACTCATTTCTGTTAGAGGCCGAGTAGACCCCAGGGCCATATTGCGGCTGGAAGGATTAGGTCAACTGAAAAAATCCAATGACCTCATCGGGACTTGAACCCGCGACCTTCCGGCTTGTAGCATATGCCTCAACCAGCTACGCTACCGCGTGCCCCCAAATTCAATCCATACCATCCTATTTCTCTTAGATCCATTTTAATATTGTCCACCCACTTACGCTTTGGTCTCCCCAGTGGTCTCCTTCCTTCCGGCTTTCCCACAAATATCCTATATGGTTGGTTATGATGGAAAAGATGACGAAGCAAATCAACACGGCACATTTTAAATGCTATCTCACAATTTTCATACAGGAAGACCATGGAAAATCTATCAGCCCGTCTCCAGACCCAGACCAGGAACAAGAACTTCCTGAACACAGAGCAGAAGATCTGTCACTGAGCGTGATGTTCTATTTTAAAGTCAACCAACAGAACTGATTATTTTTCGAACTGAAAGTTGGGTTATCCAAGAACGCTAATACTGGATGCAATTGAAATCGAATAAACTGGAACGATTGATTATTCGCAACTTATAATGTATCAAATAATTCCAGCCAAACCTTTATACGTTCACTCGATGTTAACAGCTAAAAGCCATCTCATCTCAGATGGTCACCCGTGAACCAAAACAAGCAACAAATTCCGTGGCATGTAGTCAGCAAGCGAACTATACCGACCGAGCGACCGCTGTTTGTCGGCGAAGTTAGTGTCAACTTTTGCGGATAGAGGGTGTCGCGTGGTCAGCGCAACGAATCCCCACGGCTGTTAATCTCGGTTTTCTAGACCGGAGCCGCTATTTCCTTGAAAAAGCTCCTCAATTATCCTCACGAGATTGTTACCCATGAATCTACACATATAAACCAAATCTAAATGTCAGCATTCCATTAACAATAGTTAATTATTAATAGCTCTAATATAGACACAACTCCGTTAACTATAAGCAACTGAAAACATGCTAAATATATCTAATCCAGATGTGAATGGTTGGTTAATTAAGGGGCTTAATGTTCACTCAACAGAGATCTGCAGTGGTTTATTTTGGACTGTCCATATATAAAACAATCAGACTAACACAACTGAACACTTATTTAATCTGCAGTTTAGCAGTGGCCTATCTTGATTGATGGACTGATCCAGCCATCCATCCGCCCATCAGCGGGATTAGAGTCAAATGCCCCGACCAAATTATGAAAGAAAAACAGTAACCAAGAAACTCATATTTTGCATGGTATTAGGAAAGCCCGTACCCTCGCTCCGATATTAAAAAGCACTTACTTTCTGGAAGCACTATAGAGTAATTTCGTTTTGTACGTGAAGCAACCCATATAATGGTGGGCACAAAGCTGAAGAAGGTTTTCCGATAATCGATGTAAGCAGATGCTCTTCTTTCTTTTTATTATAGAAAACTGACTGCAACAGGTATGATACGAGAAATATTCACATTATAAGCTCCATTTACACATATGAGCCTATGGGTATGTGAAGTCTATTCAACACAAAAGCTTACTTCTGATTGTGGTCACAACAAATAATACATTCAAAACATTCTTTTTCTTGGTTCTTCCGGGTATATTATGAGACAATATCCTAGAACCGAGCCGATCACGGTAGCCGAGCGGTCTAAGGCATGTACTGCCTTCGCTCGCTCGGAAGCCTGGATCGTGGGTTCGAATCCCACACAAGGCACGGATGTCTGACATGTGTATGTGTTTATTATGTGTTTGTGGTGTCCTGTGTTTAGGTAGAGGCCTTGCGACGAGCTGATCACTCGTCCAAGGAGTCCGACTGTCTGTAAAATGAACATGAGACTGAAAATCAGAGGTCAGGGCCCCAGGAGGCTGTAGAAACAGTGGGAAGAAAATCCTAAAACAGGATATGACCGCTTCATTCTATATCCATCTCAATCCCATTAAACACAATTACCCTTTCAATCGGCGTTACATATAAACCGTGCAGTTGAGGAAACGTCATTAAATAAAGCAAGAAACAACGAAATATCGCAGTGTTATAACCTTGGTGACTTCGTGGACATATGCGCGCGCGCGTGTGTGTGTGCGCGCGTGGTACTTGGCATTTTAGCATTTACAAAAATAATTTAAAAAATAAATGTCTAAACTCTGACATATCTTTGACTTTGAAGAACCCTTTGTGTATTCAGGGGTGCAGGCCGGATGCTTCAGCATGTCTTCACAGGCAAATAAAATAAGTGAGTATTTGAAATGCTCATTAGGTAA